AACATAACAACTATTTTCCGAAGACATTCAACCAGCTGTTAAGCGGACTAGTTGGACAACTTCTGCAGCCTGGTCAGATGGGTGAGTTCTTTGTTTATGTCTGTTTTTTTGACTGAAGCAAATAAATCAAACCTTTTTTTTCCGCATCGTCCCCCTTCTTCCCCTTTTTTTTTTTTTTTTTCCGCATCCCCTTTTACCTCTTCTTTTTCGAACCTCATCATCTTCCTCTTCTCTACCTACCTCAGGACCAAGAGTTCCTCCTCCTGCTTCTGCTGCTCCTCCTCCTCCTAACGCAAATGCCGGTAGTGCACCGGGTCAACCTGGGACCAATTCCACCCCGCTCCCGTTCCAAGAGATGTCCCAAGACGTAAACCAACTCCTTGGCTCACTGCTTGGGGTTGCCGGAGCAGCCGACGTCGGTGGCCCCCCCGCCACTACGTCTGGTGTCCCAGCCTTCGTCCAGGGAGTCAACGAATTCATGCAGGTCATTCTTTGAATCATTTTAAGAAACTCAATGTGTTTATGGTAAAATTATCAATTTACCATAATGTAAATACAAGTTGGAGGATTGAATGGAGGTTGATGCTTGGGAGGATGAGACAGTTTTTCAGAATAAAATACCTCGAAGACTAATTACAGTAAACTGCATATAATTTGTAACAAGTGTAGTCTTTCTCCCAAATAGACAACTATATTCATGTTAAATAAATTGAAAAAATGTCACCGATTCTGATACTGTTTAGGCCAGCAGAGAATGCTTTGCTGACCATGACGGTACGCCACTGTTTTTTGTGAAATAAAGTGGTTATTTCAAAGAAAGGAGATCACATGCTAACTGGCTACACCTTGGTAAAAGAAGATCACAGTAACCAGATTTGTTTTGCTACACAGATGTAGACATGTACTGTACAGTATTTGATGGTACTCCTGGTTGTGACTTTGGCTCCAAGGCGCTGATTCCGAATGTAAACCCGCCCCCTAGCTTTAACACCGTCGCTTCAAACTGCACACAAAACAATTGCTTCAAGGGCCTTGCACATATCCTGCACCGCCCTCACATGCTTTTTTTCCACTTTAGTATGAAAATACAGAGGCACCTCAACATATGCATTCACAAAGATAGCTCTTCTGTTCTTCTCCTTACTGTCTATTTGAAAGTCCCCTGCACTTACTGATTCATTACCCTGACCTTCGCACCTAACCTTCTTTTGAATACTTGCTTGGAGTTTGTTTTTTTTTGTAATCCCTCCTCAGGGCAGATGTCACACTTTCCTGACTTATAGACGCATCTATAAACTCTCTGCACACTTGTTTCAACCCTTCATTAAGTGGCCTGGATTGAAACGCTAAATGGGGCCAGTTTTGGTCCACAGGCTGTATGTTTGACATCCCTGCCCTACATAGTCCCTCAGTTCCTAAGTTCCTACTCTAGTCTCTAAACTCCTGCCTTTTATTTGCCTTCTAAGTGGTGAGAATTGATCCCAATCCAAAAAGATGAACGTATTCCTGGTGAGATCATTTTAATTAATTGTATTATTATTTTCCATTTACAGGGCCAACCTATCTTTTCTGCACCTCCACCTGCTCCTAGTGCTGCCCCAGCTCCTGGTGCAGGTCCCACTCCAGCTCCTAATCCTTCTCCGGCCACTGAGGTTGTCAACCCCGAGTTGTTCACAGGCATAGTCCGGGGTGTTCTCAGCACCATGATGGGGTCGCTGGGCCAGGCTCAGAACGACACGGAGAGTATTGCTCAGTTTATGCAGAGGCTGTCCCAGGCGACCAACATCTTCATCAGCTCTGAGGATCCGACAGGTACCAAACGGCACTTGTTGACTCATCGAGCAATTCCCACATTCCATCGAAGACGTCCTTACATTGCTACTGCTGATTTTTTTTTTTTTTTTTTGTTGTTTCCAAGGATTTTTCGGAGAGCTGCTAATGCTCGTGTGCCAGACATTCACCATGTCGGACCTGGTGATGCTGCTTCATGGTCAGCACCAGCCCTTGGGACGCATTCAGCCTCAACTCTCCCAGTTCTTCACGCAGAGCTACCTTAATGGCAGAGAGCCCACCGACCATAACATCGCCGTAAGTTTGTTTGTTCAAAGTGAGAAAATGTTTGAAACAACCCGCAGATGATTTAATGTTCTTCAACAAAGATTGCCATTTAGTTTACCGTTTTCCTTTTAACTAGGACGTGGCTGACGGTCTGGTGAATGAGCTGGAGGAGTACATCACGGAGAGCTTCGTAAGTCCTTGATGTCGTATGATAATTGTGATAGCCGGCCGAAGGATGAAATAAAGTGCGACGTATAGTCTAGAAAATACAGTGACACATTTTTTTTTTTAAAAATCACTATGTAAACAGCAGCTTAAAATACTGACTCTCTCGTTTTTCTTCTGTTGCTGTTGTTAGAGAGAGTCTTCGGTCAGCGTGCTCGACGGTGTGGATATCACTCAGACCAACATGTCGTTCTTCAGGCAGCAGCTGATACACATTGCCACCCATATTCTGCGTTGCTCTGGTAAATATCTCTTTTTTTTTTTTTTTTTAATTATCTGTCTGTTGTAGTTAGTTTGTTGCTTTGTACAAAACTGTAATTGCAGAAAAGGTTATCCTGTAGGGTCATATCTAAGGACGTCCGATAATATGGGCCAACCGATATTAACGGCCTGATATTAGTATAATTACGTAATCATTATGTTTATCAGTATCAGTAAAGGTAATGGTGTCACTTAAATAACAACACTTGGATAAACTCTCAGTTCTTCAGGAGGTGAGGTTTTGTGTGTGCACACATATATATATATATATATACATATATATGTATATATATGTATATGTATATATATGTATATATGTGTATATATATGTGTGTATATATATGTATATATGTATATATGTGTGTGTGTGTATATATATATGTGTGTGTATATATGTGTGTGTATATATA